TGATGATGACCCCAGGCCTGGGATTAATTTCATGGTTGGCGATATCATCATACATAAATACCACTATGTTTTCCTCTTTCAACCCACCCTTTTTCAGCAGCTGGTATGCGTGGCAAACATCGGCCTACATATATATAAATAATTTAATATGTAAAACCTCAACACTAAAAAAAATTATATATATGAAAAAAATCTTGCTTAATTATCACATACATACCTGATGCCTGTAATTTCCATAGCCAGATGAACCGGCAACAAGAACCGCCCATCTTGTTCCAGCTTCCTTGTGATTAGCATCTTCCGGTTTATCCTTATCTGAAGGCAACCGGATTGTAGAGTCCCACAGGTCCAACCGGGCGACTCGGCCGCCTCCTACGAGCAGCACAAACAGAACCAGCAACAGGATCAACCTGGACTGATATTGGACCACCGCCATGAAGAAAACCCAAGGACTAAACTAAGAAACTGGGGACGGAGAAAAGGAGGAAATGAAGAAAAGAGGGAGGTGGTGTGTGGAGATTGATGAGAAGGGTGGTGAGAGAGTATAAAAGGTACAGACTGGTGAAGTGGCGGGGTGTGGTGTGGTCTGGTGTGAGGTGCATGCAAAAGAAGACAACGGTTTTGACACGTGTGGGCTAGGGCTTTGAGTTGGTGGGCCCAAGGTGAATGTGCATGCAACGGGTGGGGTTTCCATGTTTTAGGTTTGGCGTTGTATGGTGTAGTGCGAAGGTGGTGACTTGCCGACTTGGGTTGGGTTGGGTTGGGTTGGATTTGGCTTTTTACTCATAACTTCCCCTTCTTCTCTGCAGTGCAGGAATGTTTTTTTTTAACAGCTATAAAGGATCATGCGATTGAGAGAAGAGCTTTTGTTTGTTTTGTTTCATTCCATCCCTTAATTTGAACTTGAAATCAAGTTTGGTTGTTCATTCAGGATTTAAAAGTCAGGTAGGTGAAGTTTACTTTAAAAACTTGACGGTACGAGTAAATTTCATTAATACACATAAACAGATATATCTAGCTAGACATTAGCGACATAATGAGCCTCACCCTCAAATATGTATCTCTATACACATTGGCGAAACAAAATTTTCATCATCTCACACAAAATATAAACAATAAAAATTCAAATTCTCACAAGGTATACAAAAACATCAAAAATCATATTGTCTATTCATTATGATCATAATTGTTCTCGATGAGTTTTCATATTTTGAAATCATAAAATTAAATTAAATTTCATCAAGACAAGTTCACAATTGCAACAAAGAGACATACAATTACATACTAAGCAAGAAAATTTATGAGGAATAGACAAATACATACTTGGAGTTGAATAACGATTTAGCAAATATCTCTAAAAGACCAATAATAGGTATAAACCTTTGGGGATATGTTTTTCTTCTCTTTATTTTTTCTTTCCCACTTGTCTTGGAGCCACGTGATTGTCCTTTTGAAGTGGCTCATAAATTATATATATATATATATATATACACACACACAGTCCCCTTTTATTGAGGGATCCCTCAAATAATTTTATTTGAGGGACGCCCTTTAGGATACCCTACAATTTTTTTTTCAAATGATTCAAACTATCTATTTTTTAGGTCTTCATTCATAGATCATCCTTACAAAAAATTAAACAAATCGGAAACCGTTTCGACATCCAATTGTGTCATACAAAATCAATGAACACGGTGCTTCAAGAAAGTACTAAAATTTTAATAACTCAATTGAATGGTCGAATGATATCGGATTCAAGTGATTTTTTGTAGAGATGATCTTTCAATGAGTATCTACAAAATAGACGGTTTGAATTAGTGAAATACAATCCGGAGTGGACCCTACAAGGGGTGTCCCTCAAATAAGCTTATTTGAGGGATCCCTCAACGGAAGCTCTCTGTATCATCGGATTCAAGTGATTTTTTGTAGAGATGATCTTTCAATGAGTATCTACAAAATAGACGGTTTGAATTAGTGAAATACAATCCGGAGTGGACCCTACAAGGGGTGTCCCTCAAATAAGCTTATTTGATGATATAAAGCAGAGGGTTGAAATAAAAACACAATCATTTAAGTTAGGTGGAAGGCCAGGATTTATCTTGCAGTACCTGTGGAAGATGAAGCATATACAGAAATCTTCTTGATGCAATAAATTACAGCATCTCTGGCCCTACCAATACCCCCTTCCTAGCACTGCAAGTTTGGAATTTAAGATTCCCCACTGGATCCGTATGAATGCTCCTCCTCATCCTTCTCATCAAAATAATAGAGTAGGTGGCAGATTGTATGTATATGCTGATTTAACAAACGGTATTATGCATATCGTTTCCGTAAACATATAAAGTAAAGAGATGGCATCATGCATCTATTGATTTAGTTGATGGTGTGGATATAAATACATTATGTTAATCTGGGATTTACAAATTGGTGGGCTATCATTTTCGATTGAAACATGTATTAGTTATAATAAATCAAGATACTTGGACTAGGTTACTTCTAAACAAATACTTTTGGATATCAATCCAAATCCAATTTGCGAGACGACATGTCGACAAATGATATGAAGTCATCAAAACTTGGTTTTCCTTTCTTTTTAGTTAAATGAAAGCCAAAACATGGAAAATCATGAACTGGAACCTATGGGAATCTTTTCTACCAAAGACTCAAATCTATCAAAACTACCGTTAATCTCGAAATCGTATCTCCCGCTCAGTTGATTTTTCAAACTTTTATTTGGTTTGCACATAAGTTAACCATGATGATTTCAAGCACTTTTGGCATAAACCAAGTAAAAATTATAGGATTTCTAAGAATAATCATTGGCATCTTCAACCAATTCATTCGAGTGCTTTTGGTCCTAAGGAAGCTGGTTTTGGATTTCTTAGATTACATACCTCTTTTGAGTTGGCAATTGTAGGAAATAGGAATGGCTATTATAACTTAGTAGACCAACATCAAGTAAATAATCAGTCTATAATACTTGTGGGAGCTCAAAATTTGCACAGATAAGATAACCGATTAGTGATGACTTCCCGAGTTGCAGGAACTAAAGTCTGAGCTGAAATATAATGTGCATCTTTACGTTTGTGAAAAAGATGTTTTCATACCTTTGGAGAATCCTCAAAGAATTGGTTAGGTTGAAACCAAAGACAACCTCTCTTCATCCGTATGTGAATTTCTTCTAACCCACAAAATACCTCATATTCAGTATTATTCTGATTTTTCAGTCACCCCGAAAATAATCACAGTGCTGCCCCATTTATTAAAGAAACATGAAAATTGAAAGTACCTTGAAAGGTTGGTTAACAAGGATTCATGAGCATGATATTTTCTTCCTGCAAAGGAACATATCCGTGGTGTAACTCTTGTATGCAAAATGCAATTTCTTTCGTATCCAACCGATAAACGGAAATTTCTTTTAGTATTTTTCCCTCCATGAATGCCACTTCAATTTCAACTGATACCACAAAGGAGGAATACCAAGAATCCCTCGCGCTAACCTTGGATCAAACACATCAAAATTCACTCGGCTCAAAGAGTCCAGTAGAACCTGGGCAGGCACTGCTGGCAGCAGCACTGGGAGAGCCTCTACAGGTACTGTACCAGCTAAATCACGAGCCTTCTGCAAATGGACATTAGCAACTGATGCCATCTCAAAAACCGCTTCACATAAGCCCTCACGAGAATCCAAATGAATCTCTGATTGACCTCCATGCTTAACCAGCAATCCATGCTTGGCTGCCACTTCGGTTGGTATATAAGAAAAATGGCGGTTTCGACTACCATGATATGGCAATGACTTAATCAGCAAAAGAAGACCACTTGCTTTACCAATATGTGATGCTGCATGATCGGCTGCAGTGGACCTGATACCACCAGCTTGAAGTGTCATGTAAAGAAGAGTTGATACAGTATCTTCTGCATATCTCTCCAATTCTTCAATTTTTTCTGGGGTGTCACCAACCTCCTTTCTTGCATCACTGATCCGAGCTTCTACGGACCGTTTCAGCCATACCTTGCTAATTTTGTTCTCATGTACCACTGACAACAGGGCTTGTGCTGTTGGGTGCTCAATTAACTTGTTGGCATAGATTTTGTCTATGGCTTCTTGCCACCAGACGAGGCGCATAAGACCAATCCTCGGATCAGAAGCAACATCCATAGCACGAGCTGTTTCAACATTTAAGGCACGGACTGCAAATGCAACCTTTCGCATGTTAGGGGGGAGTTCAAGGAGGCAAAGGTAGTTATGGTAATCATAACTACGGACTTGCTGCACACAGTATGAGAAAGCTGCCCTTAAGCTACTAGATGCAGAAGCACCATTCATCAAATACCAACCCTGGTTCCTCCAACAAATATACAATTGCACAAACTGCTCAAATCGCACAAAACTTCACTCAGATGAGTTAGGATTTAAAGCTGAGGGCCGAACACCTGAGAACGAAGAAGAAACAAGCTATGCTGCAAACCAAAATTTTATTAGCACCAATGCAACTCAGGATCTCAACGAATGTAACTATGGTTAAAAAATATGTTTATATTAATGATCTTTCCATCTTCATTTAAAGAAAAAAAAAGGCCAATACATCATATCTTACCAGAAAATTCAAATCCATAAAAGGAAATTTATGCCCCGGTAAGCCATTCCATGCTAGCACCCCAATCTTCACTAATAAATATAAAGTGTACTAAAAACAAGAAAAAAAATATGGAAGGTTGTGTTTGGATGAGGTATTTGAAAGTACCAAAGGATTTCCAAAATGATGGGATTTATAAATTTATTTGTTTGTTTAATAATATAGTATAACAATTTACTTCTTCCATCTAAACACAAACCTTATGTTCAAAATATAAACATGGGTTCTTCTGGCATTGTCTCAACACCTTGCAGGCACAGAAATGCAATCTAATGAAATCAAAGCCAACCAACTTCATACAAACATACAGATCATTATATAGATCTAGAGCAATCTAACAAAGCTATTGGAATTATAAAGTTACCCAATTCGCTCACTCCCCTTATGAATTTCAAATTGGATCGCACGTATCGAATCGTGGTACGTTAGCAACCAGGAATGATACATTTAGTGAACCAATACTCATGGGGATTATAACAAAACCTGAGCGATGTTGCTGCCAAAACTCGATTGGTTATTCCAATCATCAACTTAATAGGGTGGTGGGAGAGCAGTAGAGGGAGCCATCAAAAGAGAGAACCATGGAGAGAAAGCCATGGAAACAGAGTGCAACGAGGGAGTTTTGAAATTGGTTCTGAAGCAGCAGAAAAATTTACAAGCAGAGGAGGAAGACGTTGGTTTGTTCAATCTAATAAAGAAAGTGGCTGTTTTCCAAAGAGGTAAATTTTCATTAACTAAATAATAAATTAGACTTCAAAGACCTTAAAATTCCCACTAATTTTGATAAATAAATAAAAACACAATGTGTTACTTTTTTCAACCTTATACACTCTCTTTTTTGTACTTCTTACTAATTCTGAGTATTTACAAAATAAATATCGTACTGAATTAAACTAACACACGAATTATGACCTGAAATTTTGTTCCAACTATGCCTACCCCTTCGAATTTTGTACCATAGAAACCAGCGTACCTCGTACCCGTTCCTGTTCCCCATACCAGGTAACTATGTTGGTTTATAATATAACTTAACAATGGGATTTCTAATTTAAAAAATGAGGTAACTTGGTAGTGAAAGGCTGAAGTATGCTACATGACTTTTAAATGACAAGTTCTAAAGATGGTCAAAGTTCAAATTACAAAATATCAGTCAAAAAGAAGAAATTTCATCAGTACTTGAGAAAGACTGGAGGAAGCATTACTCAGTCTCATAAACCAATATATCAATACTAATACTGGAGGGTCATAAAATACTATCTCAAAATCTGGTAATTTTAGCCTCTACAGATAGAAGAAATAGAGCTTGCTGAGCTCAAAAAACACATAATAAATTAGCAAAACATCAGATTACATGATTTCCAAGATACCAAACAAAGATTGCCAAGTATTGCAATGCACAAGAACTATTGAAATTAGAAGCCGAGACAGATGAACAAGTCCTCTGTACATGCAAACCCAACACATTAACTTCCCCAAAATTTATGGGTTTATCAAAAACCCCACAGAGAAAGGCATCCCAATTTTACCAACACATTTCTCATAGGAAATCAATCAAACAGAACTAGGGCACGTCCATGGACCTTTTCTATTTTTTCACGTCAAATAATATAATCACAAACAATAATCACAGAAGTAATCCAGTGAGTATAAATCACAAAATATTAGATAACCCATCTAAGATCTTTCAAATTACATTGAGAAATTTAAATTAAACAGACTGATAACATGAATTGGAATCTCACCTTAAACCATGAGAGAGAGAGAGAGAGAGAGAGAGAGAGAGAGAGCGCGCGCTAGAGGTGAAGCTTAAGAGGAGAACGCTCTGTCAAGCTTTCTGGTCTTTCCACCATTAACATCAAGAGACTGAGAAACTGAGGGGCTGAGAGTCAGAGCAGCTAAATGTTCATGTGGGCTACGCTAAAACAACAAGGCCTTCGGCAGGTGGCAGGTGGCAGGTGGGTAAGCCTTTCCATTTTATTTGTTAACATGCGCCGTTTTAGTGAAACATACAAAACTAACTCCTGCCACATTGGACTGGGTAAGGCAGGCCCAATGAAATACATCCAACACATTATAGGAAAACCCCACTGTCCAAACCTTTTGAATTATTATCTTATTATGTATATATATTTATTAATTAAAAATATATTAATAGTATTATCATAGTAAGGGCTTGTTTGGAAGTGCATTTTGAACATCGAAAAGCGCTTTTAAATAGGTGAAAGCGCTTTTGTCTTTTAAAAATGGTGTTTGGCAAAAATTGTAAAAGCACTTTGGGTGAGATCCAAAAGCACTTGGAGTGGTTTTGGAAGAAGCACTTGAGAGGTGTTTCTTTTTAAAAGCGCTGCAGGACAAAAACACGGGAAGCACTTGGCTCCTTTTATTGAAACTTTTAAAATGCCGAAAATACCCATATTTAATTTTTTTTAAATGCCAAAATACCATTTCTTACTTTTTTTTTTTTTTTTTTCTCTCCTATTAAAACCGAACTCTACCCGCCAAAAGCCCAATAGATGTCAAAACTTAGCAGACGTCAAAACACCTTCCATCTCTCTCTCACACAATCTGCTCTTCATCTGTCATATTTCTGTTCTGGAGTTTTGGCGTAGTCTGGTCAACAACGAAGTTCAGCCTCAGCACCCTTCATCTGTCATATTTCTGCTTCTTCAGAAAGAGAGGTAATCATTGATTCTTGTTAACTTGTCTTGCTTAAATCTCATGTTTATGTTCTGTTTGTTGGTTCATATCTGTTTGAATTCATTGTGTATCTCAATATGAACTTTCCCATTCTAGGGAGTTAGTAGTGGGATTTGGTTGAGATCAATGAAAGTACGTGGAACTATAATGAATGAGTTTATGTATTTACAAAAGCATTGCTGACTCCATGGAATAATTTTGAGTTTAACTTATTAAGAAGAATTCTATTCCAAGCCTGAATTGTTACAAAAGCATTGCTGACTCCCCTTGCTGTGGACAGTCCTGAATTGTTAAATCGATTCTCAGAAGAATTCTATTCCAAGCCTATTAAATTAGACGATTGAATTGGGGAATATAAGATTGTGTCATCCAATGTCCCTATTTGTTCTTCAGTGATTTACCACCGGGTCAATCATATTGCCAATGCATTTTTTGACAGTATGTGATTGGTGGAGCCTGTGAGGAATCGCCATTGTCAATTGGAGTTCAGATTTTTTACCAATCTACTGGTGAATGGTAAGTGTATGACTCTTGGTATTGAATTGCTTTTGTCTGATTTTGTTACTGATATCTGGTTTAAATTTGCAGGATATATCCTACTGTATTGGGAACAAAACCCAAAACATGTAAGGGCCTTTCGGCAGTGCTTTTAAGTGAAGACCGGATATTGATTACGAAGAATGGCTCCACCCCAGACGATTTTGCTTGGTTCCTTGAGGTGGGTACCTGTGAAACTATTCAGATATGATAAGGGAGAGTACATTTGAACAGAATAAAAGATGTCACAATTTCGTCTCATTTAGTAATAGTTTAAGTTTGAGATAGACAACGGAAGATAAAATGAGACTGCACCAAATGGTAGTAGGAGTTTCAAACAATAAGTTTGGAAATAGAATTATATTCAATTGATGTGAGAACAAAATAACTCATGTCCTTTTTGCCGTTCAATAAAGTGGAATTGTTCAGTTAACACCATTCTGTCCATCACGTATTATGTTTAGATGATCACAAGATTATTCTGAAATCTAAAATTGTTTTGTTTTAGGTGGCAATGATGCATTTCATATAAGTGATTTTAGATATATTAGAATCACTTACGAGGAGAACCACCTTCTATAAGTGTTTTTAACACTGTTACGTCGAAAACGTTAAGGCGCCATTTGTTTATGTTTTAGAGGCCCATTTTCATTTTCAAAAAGTAAAAACAAAGCAAAACGTGTTTGGTGGGCGAAAACAGAAAACATTGAAAATGTTTTCATAAAATGAGACGAACTTCACGTTTACTTCTACAAAACAGAAAAAAGATGTTTTTGTTTTCCCTGAAAACAAACGCTCAAAACACATTGCTTCTGCTCAATCTTTCGCTCAATCTTCTCTCCCTATTAGACCAAAAACCAAAATTCTTATCTCCTCGCTCACCCTTCTCTTCTCTCCCCTTTTCTTGACCACTCTTCTCTCTAGCTTGGCTCACTCCTCTCTTTGGCAACAGTCTCTCTTCCTCTCTTCACCACTAACGTTTTTTGTTCTCTCCAATTGCTCCATCGCCCCACAGACCACAGGAAGATTGCTGCTCTTGGAAGATCTCGTTTTCAGTGCTTTCTGAAGACACAAGAATGCATCCCATCTACAACTCTAGCTCTCTCTCTCTTGACAACCGATATACCCACCAATAAGAACAACACCCATCTTCTCCGACCCAAAATAACACAAATCTGCAAACTAAGAAAAAAAAAATACAGAGGAAGAAGAAAAGAAAAGAAAAACAGAGACAGGAAGAAGAACCACCACATACCTAGCTTAACCACCATCATCTCCCAATCAAACCACCACAACCATTAATTAGTAGAACTAGAGAGAGAGAGAGAGAGAGAGAGAGAGAGAGAGAGAGAGAGAGAGATGGGTGGGTGTATGGGATTTATGTCATGGAAGGAAGGAGGAGTGGGTGCAGCCTGGGAAAGAAAGGAAGAAGAAAGGAGGAAGGAAAGAGGAAGAAAAGGAGAAAAAATAAACGGTCTTGGGAAGGAAAGGAAGAAGAAATGAGGAAGAAAGAAGGAAAGAGGAAGAAAAAGAGAAAAAACAAACAGCCATGCGAAGGAAAAGAAGATGAAGAGAGGAGGAAAGAGAGAAAAGGAGAAAAAGAAGAAGAAAAAGAAAAAAAAAAAGGAGATAAGATAGTTTTTGAGCTTTAATTTTTTTCATTGTTTAT